AAATGAGCATTAAAAAAAGCTGAATGGGAAAAGGCCCTATGTTCCAGAATGCACAGTGTGCACGTTGGGTGGTTGGGTGAGTGGGTGAATGGGGAAATGGGATGGACAATTAAACTGGGCTTGTCAAAAAAAAAAGGAAAAATATTGGGGCCGGCCAGTGGTGCACTGCTACAGTGCGCTGCTTGGGAGCGTGGTGGCACTCCCGCCGAGGGTTCGGATCCCACATACAGACCGGTTCCCGCTCACTGGCTGAGCGAGGTGCGGGTGCGACACTGAGGGTTGCGATCCGGTTGCCGGTCCCGGTCCGGTACGGGCGCGACACTGAGGGTTGCGATCTGTTGCCGGACACGAAAAAAGGAAAAAAAAAAAAAAAAAAGGAAAAATATCTGGATAGATGACGTGGTACACTTTAGCCTCAGAAGAGAGCGGTGACTGGGGAGGGACAAAATAGAGGAAAAGGGTCCACCAATGATAGCAAATCCAAAGCCAAAAGTGTAGCCTTTACCAAACCCTTGTCAAAGGCAAAGGAAATACAAGTTGAGCATCCCTGATCTGAAAATCCAAAATCCAAAATGCTCCAGAATCTGAAACCTTTTGAGGTCAAAAGAAATGCTCACTGGAGCACTTGGGATTTCAGATTTACAGATTACTGATGCTCAACTCGTATGTACTCTGCAAATATTCCAAACCCCAAAACAATCCAAAATCCAAAACACTTGTGATCCCAAGCATTTCGGATAAGAAATCTCTGAGTAGATCCTACTACTTAAGAGACCACTAAAAGCACCCAGGAATGGAGGGAATAAGGTGAGAAGAACTGCAACCCACCATGCTGAGTGGAGGGTTTCCACATACCACAGAGGCCAGGGTGTGACAACTGTAGAGACTATTTTGATCTGAAACTTAAAATCTGTTTAAAGTTAACTAAACAAAGTTAATTATACTTGGGCACAAAAGGTAGAATTAATTATCTAAATGATCTCACTCTCTAAGATGAATTATGGTGGATAAGGTAAGAAAAGGGATATAATTAGTAAAAGAAAAAGATAAACGTGTCTGGTGAAGCCATCACTTCAATTCTTCCTATGGGTGGTGGTTAAAAAAGGAAAGTACCACCATAGACCATGATAGAGACAGGGTGACACATCCACTGTTCTGTGCAACTTGTCTATGTAAGTCACAGAAAGTAAAACAGATTCATTTCGCAATATCTTAAATGATATGGATTGTCAATAAATGCATTATTTAGATTACTACATTGAGAGATCAATTAGCTGCACAATTTTCACTGGCCCTGGCAAGTGTGCATACAAGGAAAGTTTTATAGTGGGCTTCTCTCCTCACGTCCTTCATTTCTCTGTCTGGTCCTGCTGTCAACAATCACAACCTCAATGCTAGTCCCTGACTATTCTCTTGTTCTTTCTGCCTTATGCCTTCCAGATCAACAGGTCTTTCTCTACTGGCTTCTTCAGTTTCTCATTTCAGATGCACTCCATGCCTCCTTGCAGAATGATTCCAGTTCAGCTTCCCTGTTTACCCAAACCAGTTAGGATAGTGCTGACTTTATCTCCCTTAACAGTGTAAACTCCATTTGGGCAGGCCCCAAGTCTAGAATGTTCCTCTCCATACCTCCAATCCCTAGCACTGTACTGGCACACAGCTGCCCTAAAAAAGTATTTGCCAAATTAATAAAAGAGTGATGAATGACTGAGTGAGATTAAAATTTAAAGACACTGTCTCAGTTTTTCACAGTTCAAAAGCTGTGCTTTAACTCTGGACTGGCAAAGTCCTGAGGCACCTCAAGGTCCCTGTGGAGCTCTGTGAATTTGGTTTTCAACAATGATTTGGCCTGGTTTTACAGACACATCTTCTACATGATTACAAAAATGGTTTGGGTAGGGCCGGCCCGGTGGTGCACTGCTACAGTGCACCGCTTGGGAGCGCGGTGGCACTCCCGCCGAGGGTTCGGATCCCACATACAGACCGGCCGCTCACTGGCTGAGCGAGGTACGGACGCAACACCGAGGGTTGCGATCCCGTTGCCAGTCCCGGTCCGGTACGGGCGTGACACTGAGGGTTGCGATCCGTTGCTGGACACGAAAAAAGACCAAAAAAAGAAAAAAATGGTTTGGGTAACCATCTTCCGTGTATGAAGACAAAAACTGCTGGACCACAGATCCAAGACCATGGCATAGTTGAATATGGTTAAATATTCCCCACTCGCCTGCCTCCCTAGAGAGATGTGTCCTGGTGGAAAGCCCTTGAAAATTAACACATCTGCATTTCTGCACCAGCCAGTGATCCACAGCAAGAGAATCGCTTCCTTCTCTCTGTTGGAGTCTCTACTGATTCTGTAGTTTAGGAGGAAACTAAGTGCTATCCAAATACCAAATGTTCCATACGGCAGTGCTGTCGCCATTCCTGATACCGCTACGTACAGCCTTTCTACCTACACTCCTGAGGTGCCTCATCTGAGTTTGGCAGAACATTATGAACTATTTTCCTGACCTGTATTTGCTGACAAATTTGTCACCGTCTCTCCTTCTATGAACTTCTTAATTTTGTTGAAATAACATACATATGTATATAAATAAAAAGTTTTATTTTCTTATTCATCCTCATAATCACTCAGAGGAGAATAATTTATGACCCAATAAAGAGGAATTCTTAAGCTAAAATGTCTTAATTAGGATTTCAGACATTCCTTTTTTACCGAGAAATACAGTGTTCAAAGTAAACTGGAAATCAGGGCTTACATAAACGTAGCATCTACATACATGAGCTAGTCTCACGGTCGCGAGTGAAGGGCAGTGCTTGAAGGGTTGAAGACCTACGAATTGCCCTGTGTTTGTCTCCTTAATGCCAAATAATTCTTTGCCTCTCTTCCTTCCACCTTCAACCTTATCATGCAGCCAAGTGTCAAAGTTTCCCGACAGTTTCCCCTTCAATGTTTACATAGGATACAGCATACACTGCCTAAGACCTGAGGTCTCTTAATCTACCTCCTCTTTCATTTATTGAGTAAAATGAAGCTTATTTAGTAATGGGGGAAAGAGACAGCCAAGTAGGGCAGCTCACATATAGTCACAGATGGTTAGGGACTCTCTCTGCGTGGCTCAGAAGAGGCCAGGAAGTATGCCTGGCTGAAGGCACTCACTGTACCCTTTGGGGGACGAGGCAGCCCCGGGTGGGAATGGGGCTCTGCCCTCACACAAGGGCTGTCTCAGGGTGTCCCTAGCTGGGTGACAGACAGAGTAATGATTTCACAGCTCTGTGGAAAATGGGTCTCTGACCTGCAGACTTCAAGCAGGAAGTCTCCTCAAGACTGGGGTTACTCCATTCATTCAAATTAAAGCCATTCCAGAAGTACATTAGACATTTTTTGGGGGGGGATTACACTGTGGTTAGTGTTATATTTATATTGTTTACTTCTATCATAACCACTTTCTCAGATCATTATTCTCTTGAAATAGGATTTCTAATTTTAAACATTTCACAGATATATACTCGTAATAACATCCCATGAGATGGGTACCAGAATTCTCTAAATTTTACACTTATAGACGTAAAGTAACTTGCTCAGTGTCACACCTGGAGAAAACAGCAGGCAGTCTGGAGCCTGCAGTCTTGTCTACTGGGATCTACAGCCTCTATATGGAACTACCATAATCATATTTAATCATGTTCCCAGTATTGGACATATACACACATACCTATTTATACAAATACTTTTTTTAACTAATGAGCAGTATAACTTCAGATACATGTTTAATGAGGACTTTTTATGAAATACCTTTTTATTCTTTTCAAGAAATGAAAAACTGTATTTTCCACCAGAAAATTTTTGCTATCCAGTGATTTTATAGTTGTCTAAAAATACTTGGCCACCAAGGAAAAACTTGAAGTTCCTTAGCCCCCTTCCAATCCTTCTTTATTTAGTATTATTTCTCAAATGTCAAAATCTGGTAAGTTTCATGCATGCTACTGTCTACAATAGGAAGGTTCTTCAAAACAGTATGATTTACAAATAAATGTTTCCCCACCAAAACACAAAAAAACAAAACACATGGAGATACTATTTCTCATAATCAATTGGCAAGGACTCTTTTGGTTAATTAAAATTCCCAGCATTGGAAAATTATGTGGAAGTAGGTAGGTACTCTCACACATTGCCTCTGGAAATATAAAATGGTATTACTTTATTGCAACAAGTATCAAGGGTCTTAAAAATTGAAAACTCTTAAATTCAGCAGTTTAGTGCTAATAAATTATCCTAAAGAAGGCATTAATATAGGCAGTAATATACAGCTATAAGAACATTTTCGGCAGCATAAAAGCCAAAAAAAATTTTAGAAATGACTAAATGCCCAACTAGAGGGGATCAACCAAATAAATTTTAGGGTATCTGTTCAATGGTATACTATATAATCATTAAAAATTATGTCATACAGGGCCGGCCCGGTGGCACGCTCCCGCCCGAGGGTTCGGATCCCACATACAGACCGGTTCCCGCTCACTGGCTGAGCGAGGCGCGGGAGCAACACCGAGGGTTGCGATCCCGTTGCCGGTCCCTGGTCCGGTACGGGGGCAACACTGAGGGTTGCGATCCGTTGCCGGACACGGAAAAAAGACAAAAGACAAAAAAAAAAAAAAAAAATTATGTCATACAAAATATCTACTGCTATGAAAGGATGTTCCTTCTTAAATTAAGAGAAACAAAAAGCTTGACAACAGTATATATTGTACTGTTCTCTACGACCATCTGATGGTCGTCTCTCTAGCTGAATTTATGAGTATTGCTTCCAGAATTATCCACTTCTTATCAATGCCTTGTCATCTGTCCTAATCAGTGATTTCAACATAAGTAGAAAATATGTGAATATATAGATAAATGTTTATGTTGTGTGTGTGAATAAATACATATACAGTCCACCACTATCTTGGGGACTTTACAAGTAAGTGATAAATTGTTTTCGGTTAAAGAGTTTGGAGATCTTTACCTGTACCATGTGCTTTCATCACAACGGAGAACCACAGGTGGTCAATTCCTTCCTAGTGGATCTTTCCACACAGATTTTGCTTGAGTAGAAAGGGCGGCAGTAGAGAATCTCAGTGTAAGTTGCCTAGACCTGAAATTATAAAAATGATATTGTCACTGAGTTAGGCAGCTTCTGTGGCCTTCATTCACATTAGATGAAGTCACAGGATGCACAATCTCTCTCTGTCTCTCTGTCTCTCTGTCTCTCTCTCTCTCTCTCACACACACACACACACACACGCACACACGGCTCTGAGATCAGAATATCAAAAACTCAGCAAGCAGAGACAGAGCAGGTCCCCATCTATGGATGAGCAGACTCTGGTCAGGGGTTGCTTCATACCCCATCTCCTGACCTTACAGGCATCACCATCAAAATGGTCCTGTTCCTCGCCTAATGATTCCAAGATTTCAGAGAAATAAAAGTAGTTAGTTCTTCTCTAGAAAATGTCAGAACCACTGCTGAATTTGATGCTCTCTAAGATTCCTTCTAGCCACAAAGCTTTGCAAATTCAGTACATGTATTTACCATAATGATCTGACTTTCACTTTCAAAACTGTACGTGCCTCTCTGTTAATGACTCGGGTAAGGCATGATATCAGTGATATTGAAAGTCATCACTAACATTGGTGGAATATTTACTACGTTCCTGGCACTGTGCTAAGTGCTCTGCACACAGTACCCAACTCCTCAGCACCCTGTGAGTAGCTAGTAATCCTGATTACTTCTGTATTATTGACAAGAAAACTGACAGGGTACACAGCTAGCAGATGTTAAAGCCAGTATTTAAGCCAATATGGTTCACAGAAGGCATGCTCATAATTCCAGTACTATACCGTCTCTCCAAAATTGATCTTTCTATCAACACTTCTGTACTTATTATTAAAAGAGTTAAATATCAAATCAACATCACCTCATCTCTTCCCATAGTTGATATTTCACCTAAGTCTTAATATTACTAATTCTTTTTGGATTTGACTGTCCTTTGATTTTAAATCCCTAACTCAGCTGAAATCAACATGTTCATGTTTCAATTGAGAGTAGTTATTTCAGTAAATTAAAAAAGCCAGATCCCAAATCCAGATGCCAAAACACTATCTGTAGGCAAAAAACTAAAATCTAAGTCTTACCCGGGTGACTAAATTTCATTAGAAAGAAGGCAGATAATAAAACCAAAAGTCATGTGGCATCCCTAAGTAAAGATATGGAAGTAAAGAGAAATTTCTATGCATAATATATTCATGATTTAAAAAATACTTATATATATTTACCTATTTACAAATTCTACATACTATAGGTCTTAGAATCAAAATAGATATGAAATCAACAAAATCACTGACAGGTCCCACAATAATTCCCTCTTGTGTATGGGTGCCTACAGGTATTTATTTGCACTGTTCTGGTTATGCCTCTGTGCCTTTGCACATGCCACTCCCTTGGATTAACACAACTTTCCCCTCTTTACCATCTGGACAACACCTACTCATTCTTCAACACCAACCTCAAGCCTCAAGTCTTTTGTAATGTCTTCACCATCTCTCTCCTGATGTTTTCTGGAAACCCAAGCAGAGTGGATTCTGCCCTCTCCTAGGCTCCCTAGCTCAGCAATGGTGCAGACATCGTCCTTCCATCCTCTTCACCCAAATTATGCCCCATATTCAACCATGAAGTCATACCCCTCAACTCCCTCCACTTCTCCCCTGAACCATCACGGCTCATCTGGACGACTCCGCTGGCCTCCTAACTGGTCTCCCTGCTTCCTCCGCTGCACTCTACAGCTTATTCTCCTGCTGCCCATGCTCAGCTCCTGCTTAAAGCACTGCAGTGGCTTTCCACTGAGCTTAGATTCTGAACACGGCCCCCAAGGCTGGGTATGCTCCAACCTGTACTTCAGCCTTGCTGGTTTACTTTCAATTCCTTAAAATCACCTTGTCTTCCTAGGCCTTGGGGCCTTTGCACATGACTTCTTGCTAAGACTTCTCCCCACATTGCACCATTATCTGCCCCCACCTTCATCAAATGACCTTGTCTTCTTTTCTCCCTCGGCTCTCAGCTCAGTCCTTTCCTCCTCAAGGAAGCTTTTCCTGACTCCTCGGCCAGGCCACTATCTCCTGAGACATGCTTTTGTAGAATCACTCCCCCTTGTTATACTAGTCACCTTTGTCATTGTATGTTTTTACATTTTTTGACTGACTTAATTAATGCTGGAAGGTCCAAGAAGGGAGAACTGGGTATGCTCTTGCCCACCCTTTTATCTTCAGGTTTTCAACACAAGCTTTGAGCATTATAGGCACTCAGTAAAAACCTGCTGAATGAATAAATGAATAAAAGGAGGAAAGGACATCCCTTATTCATGATCATTAGTGCTCGTTGAATTAATTTGTGGATGGCTTTTCTTTTTTCTCTTTTTAATTTTTTTTGGCAGCTGGCCAGTACAGGGATCAGATCCTGGACCTTAGTGTTATCAGCACCATGCTCTAACCAGCCAGCCTTGTAGATGGCTTTTTAACACAGTATGACACGTACATTCCTTTGAATAGTGTGCAAGGCTCTCATGATCTGACCCCAACCAGATGGGTTTCTTCCCCAGCCTCATCTACTGCTCAGCACCTCTGAATCCCTGTGGCTCCTGACTGGCCCCACCTCACCTGTGCTCATCCCACACCCCTGTCTCCTCTGTTCCCTCTGCACACCTCCAAACTCACTCATTCTTCAAGTCTCAGAGTGAGGGCTGCTTTTCGGTGAAGGCCTGCCTGGTACCTTCTGGGAAGCTGAGGCCCTCCTTTCGCATTTTTCTACAAAACATTGTACCTATCCTTAATAAAGCAATTATCATATTTTCTTGTGCTTGTTTCTTAAGCAAGTCCACATTTCCCACTATACTGTAAGTCCCTTAAAGGTAAGGGAGAAAAATCCCCCATCACAGTATCCCCAGACTTTAGCGCAGCATCCCAGAATGTAAATTCTCAATAAATACATATTTGCTGAATGAACAAAAAAGAAATGTGTGTATATGTATAGACACACACACATATACACACATGACCTCATATATCTATCACACATACATACACACATATATATTACATATGTACAAGCTCCAGAGTTGGGCATTTGAAATATATTATTAATATAGTATATTATTATTAAATGTTGTGAGGCATAACTGTTTTAAACTCATCTGTAAAATGGGCATAATAACACCTACCTCACAGGATAGTTGTGAGAATTAATAAGACACACAAGTAAAATGTTTAGCATAGAGCTCAGCATACTGGAAGTACTCTGTAAGTATTAATTGTATAATCATTATCACTGTCATTATTATTGTTAGGGCAACCAAGCTGAATTTATAATTCATGCTTCAAAGTTAACAGTTTCATTTGCCAACACTTTTTTCTATTAAAACATTAATTAGCATTAGCATCTCTGTAAGGCCGTAAAGATGGCTAGAGAGGCACTCAGAAAACTAAGGATAAATAAGAGCCTTATGACAGCTGAAGGACAAATTATTGTTTTGGTGGAGGGAACAAAAGCATCAACAGAAAAGAAGAATTTCTGGACAAAAAGTATCTATAAAATCTAAATGACAGAAACAGTCAAGTATTGCCATTCAAGTGCTATAAACATTTAGCTGAAATAATTATACTTACTTGTAAATTATCCCCTTTGCTAAAAAACCAAGATACATATTCATCTATTTCTTTTAATTACTGGACAGAATAAGGTGACTTTATAAACAAATATTAAAGACTTGTCTAATTAATATGCTATAAAATGTTTGAATTAACAGCAAACATGTTTCATATGTGGTATATTAGATGCTACTCTGATTCAAAATTGCTGAAATTTAATGAAATAGACTATGCAAAGAGGAAAAAAAGGCAAGACTATTTTGCAACAGTATTTTGGAATTGTTTACAAATGCTACCAGTACCTAGTTGAGCAGAATGAACTGTAATAATTTATTCTACAAAGGAAACCTATAATTCTGTTTTATATTGCTCTTTCTCTTGCATATTGGCCAAATTTAAATAATGTGTACTTAGTGTTCTATATGCTATGCAGTATTGAAATATAAGGAACTATCATTATTACATTTTGAGATTTCTGTTCTCAATTCATCTTTATCTCTGTGGTAAATAAAAAAAAAACCCAAAGCAAGTCAGATTTCTGATTGAGGCTCAACCCTTTTCTCAAGGATACTAGAGTTACATAGAAAAATGTAAGAAAAAAGTTAAATTCATAACTTATTATTGTTTTACCATAAGAATATTAAACTACTTTTAAACTGATTTATAATTCTATTCACTGGCCACAACTGTTGACCTTTAACACAATAAATATATATTGATCTTTGCAACATAATCAAAGTGAGTTGAAAAGGTAGAATCTACAAAGTTAGCCAAAAGTCTTAATTAGACAATTTCTATTTGAATTTACTATTAATTTCATCATCATGATGCTTGTGTTTGTGGCATAAAATCTGGTGAAATTGTAGTAATATAAAGCATCTTTATTTATGCTGGTCACTCAATTGAAAACATCCTTCTTACTCATTCAAGTGTTACTCTTCCTTTAAGATTCAGCTCAGATATCGCTTCCTTTGTGACACACTCCCACATATATTGTATTTTTCCTGCTGTGTAATGATCTGTCTCCCTCTCCAGAATGTGAGCTCCTTAGGGGACCTGACCAGGTTGCTGCGTTTTTCATAACAACCTGCACAGTTCTTTGTACATAATACATTCTCAGTAAACACTGCTTCAATGTGTCAGTGAATACACTCACTCTGTTACTCTTGACCATGATGAAAAGGCCACTAATTGTGATTTAAAGTTAAAGGTTAGAGTTAAAAAAAAATCCATTTTTTAGTGAAATGAAACTCTTAGCATTTTCACTTCCAGATGCATCAGCATTACATAAAAGATGTTGAAACTATTTTAAAAAACAGACATGCAGCACATTTTCCTGTCTGAGAATGAGTGTGAAAATATCATGTTTCACAGGGGCCTCTGGGTGTTCTCAAGACAAACGTTCAGTTTGGTATTGATTCCACGCACTCACTTAGTGGAAAATCTAGGGTAAGA